AGTGTTGAAAGTGGGGAGTTGATCAATTCCCTCTTCACCATATATTTTTTATGATCTACTGTGATTGGTGATAAGATTTTGCAACTTAGATTCTTTCAATACGCACATTGGTTGTGCTAATTTTGTCAACTCTCCTAACCAACATCGGCCAAATATTCAGAATTTTAACGTTTGATCAATGGTATATTGGACAGCCCAAGAAAAAACTACATAATTACACGATGATACGATGCCTAGCACCTGCAAATCATTCAAAAATTAACTGCCTAACACTCCAGCATGAAACCAAGTCCCATTTGACCCGCATTCAGAACAACGGAGCTGATGCTGTTTACAGGGAGAACACAATCAACTCATTCCTCGATGATTACAAACCCGTTGAGGGGATTATGATTGCTCACTCAGGACATTCAGTAATAAAGTAATTCAGGTTTGGAGAAACTGCAATGAGCCACACCAAGACCAGGATGGAAGAAGCCTGGACAGTTGAGGAAGTGGCATTCAAGGTCCGTGGCTCTTCAATGGACTGTTTCATACCTCCTGCCGAGCTAAGATTTGTTACTGTGAGTGAAGGTTGCATCATTCGAGAAGTCTCATGAAGGCAATGCAAGTAATCTTATGTTGAAGGTGGATGTTTAGAAGGATAATTGTAATGGACTGACTGACATCAAAGGTAGGTATGGTAAGATAGGAGCTGAGTTCGTGCAGAAGTTCTGCATTGGATCGATGTAGTTTCAAACTTGTACATAGTGAGTTGTCTATAGATTTTCTCAGGTGCATGGAAAATTGTTGTGCTCGAATGTAAAATCATTTTGGAGTCGGGGCTTGGGGTTTTGGTGGATGATTGAGCTGCCTAACTCATCTCATTTAGAATCAATACCGATTAGAGATTCCTATTAAGATCAATTACTATTTATGTAAAATTCGTATTTTGTAGACTTTGACTTGGTGTGTACTTAATATTTGATCCCCTTCCATGTTTGGTATTGTACCTTTAATGGCATGATGTCTAAAATGTAGTTAAATTGAAGTGTGGACCTGATTTCAATAAGGGCTATTTTTAACCTGGTGCAATTACTGATACAACGAACATACATCCTTGATGTTTATCTTAAGATACATTTCATGTATTGATTGTGCGGTTCATTTCATGTATTAAATCCTGATGTATTTAAGAAGATGCGACCAATCCAAGGCGCAGATACATTGGAAATATTAGTAGGGCTGTCCCCTATATAATAATTGGAGATTAAGAGTATTTTAGAAGCGGAGTGAGTGTCTACTGAATCATAACACACTTTTACATGGAGTCGAAGGCTGTCCATTCTGGTTTTGTGGTGATCGTGATTACCCTATTGATCACTGCTGGTCATGCAGTTGCACAAGAAGATCGTTGCTTTCAGGACTGTCGTAGTACTTGTCATTTGGATTTGGTTACACCAGATGGATGCGATGAACAATGCTTCCAGAGGTGTCCAGTTCTACCTTCCTTGTCTCCAACTGCTGTGACCTTTTATCCAACCGATCGTTGCTTCACTAAATGCATGGAAGATTTCCATTTGCCTAAAGAAGTGGAATGTGCTAATACTTGTTTCATCAAGTGTGGATTTCCACCGATGCCTCCGTTGCATTGAAAAATGTCTATCACCAGTAGAATAAATGTTTTTTTATCTTAATAATGTGTAACATGGCTGGTTCTGAAATTTTGGGGGCCATGTAGCAAAATTAAACTATAACCCTCTAATTTGTTACTAGCTTTCTTGAGTTATTTAAATAATATAATAACTTAGAATTTATAAACTAAAACATCAAAAATTGAGTTGGAAGCAAACAGTTCACTGGTTACTAGTTTGATTTGTACAAATTGTCCATGATTTGATTTATGCAGGATTTCTTTATGTCAATTTTTGAAAATTAAGCAAAATGAAAGTCATCAATGTCAGGATTCGAACTCACACCCTTTCACTAGGTTGCAAAACACAAACCCACACTAAACCATGAGCGCACTTCAAATATTTTCATCATATTTCCTACAATGGGCCCTGTGCAGTGGCACCACTTCCACACCTTTAGGGTTAACGTAAGTATAGTGTTGATGTGTGGGCAGTTGATCAATTCACTCTTCACCACATATTCTTTACGATCCACTGTGAGTCCGTGATTGATGATAAGATTTTTGCAACTTAGATTTGACCAATACTTACATTGGCTGTACTGATTTTATCAACTGGCTTAACCAACATTGGCCAGACATTACAAAATTTTCACATTTGGTCAATGGTATATTGGCCCGCCAAAGCATAACAAGAAAAAACTACATAACCACTCGATTATACGATGCCTTGCATCTAGGAGGAGACTCGAAGCCAAGTTCGAAGTGATGACCAGTTTGCAGCAATATTATGGCCTACAGAATTATTACATTATCTGTTGAACATGATATTAGCCGACCCCACTTAATGGGAAAAGGCTTTGTTGTTGTTGTTGTTGAACATGATATAATCCTTCATATTTCATCATGCTTTTGCGCCTTGCAATAACACCAAAGAGAGAGGATGCAGTTTGTAACAAAAAAAAAAAGGAACTTTAACGAAAAGCACCCGGTACTGTTCACTTTAACGAAAAACCACATTTTTACACTAAAAAGTCAATCCTGGTACTATTCACTTTACCCTTTATTTTGTCCTTATCATTAAAACTCAAAGTTTTCAAGCCCTTTTCATTAGTTTTCCTAAAAAAAAACTCCCAGCTTAATTATCTCTCATTAGTTTCATTTAATTGAATTTCTTTTTTTTTTTAAGTGAGGATATGTTAACATCTTTTGAAGATTGAAAACAAAGGCATTCCAATCATCATGAGCTTTAGAAACCAATGTAGGTATTCTCCACGCCAGTACGAACAAGCACTAAACTAAACAACATCAGAAACATGTCTGCATATACCAATACCTAGTTACCAATCACCAGAGAGTCATGTTACACACACGAGTTTTCGAAGTGTATTGTTTAAACCCTAATTAACTTTCTAGAGAAGATTATACTCTAATAAATCGCCTCTTTTCATGTTCTCTTGTTTGTCCAATCTATATATAGTATGTGTATGTAACAGCCGCATATTCTTGAGACCTCCACCAGATGTACTAAATTACTAATTCTATTTTCTAAAAGTTTTGCTAGTTAGGGGTTTAATACTTGTTTGAATTAGGTTAAGTTGAGGAGGACCATATGAACCACTTTCTACTACAGCAGACCAAAGGAGAGTAATTTACATGGCACGGGACGCCACCATGGTAGTGTACCCTTGCCATTTAAGTCCGAAACTGAAACCACGTTTTCAAGCTGTGGTCCCTCAGATCTCTCAAGCAACAAACCCCATCTGTAATCACAATCCATTTTGCTGCATTATTATAAGTTGAATAGAAGGACCTAGATTTTGGCTTTTAGAACAGCTTTTGGAGAAGATTATTAGTAGAGTAGCATTAGACCTGTTGACAAGGGAACTTAAAACGAAAATCAAGGTTCCAGACAACATGCTGTCAAATGTGCATTGAAAAGCAGAAAGGTTTTTGTTCTAACAAGTGTTTATTGGTTGGAATTATACTTTGGTAGATTTTGAGAATCTACGATATATCTTGCTTACGCGATCCTTAAATAGCTGTATGAAGACAAACTAGTATTTACAAGAAACAATGCAGATTAATGAAGAAACTAAAAACTAATAATCCTGATTCAAAGAAATTTAAAGGCCTTCCATCCGAAATGAGGACCACTTTGCTTTGCAATGTCGGGTGACAATTGCGAAGGCCTGTTTCCTTGTTACTTGCATGGCTGTCACTAGGCCAGGAATTTGTAAAATATGTACCCAACACCACATGATTCCATACAAAAATTGGATTCAATATTACAAATTATATAAGAACTAAGCTTCATGTAAAAGACTTTAACAAAGTGCAAACCCACCTTAGAAATCAGATCGTCAATCGCGACGCATGCACCATCTCTCTCATTGCAGGACCTAGTAACTACATAATGAGTCAAAATTTTACTGTACTCTGGTATATAGCATGAATCAAAGTAATGAATAGTTAATGCGCAGTCTCAATGTATAATATAAATATGAAAAAATTAGTATCCGATTCTTAGTTACTAATATTCATGGACTGAGACCTTATTTGTTTTCCAATTTTGATTGAAGTCCCTATCATTAATTTGATAATGCATTTACATGTTTATTACATTTTTTTTTAAATTAGTAATTGATTTAGGATACTCACACCTCTATTAAACTCCTAATTAATTTTCAATTCAAACATTTTTCAAAAATAAAATAAAATAAACTAGAATAAGTTTGTACCCATTAGATTTTTTTATAAAAAGATTCTTAATTTTTTAATCTTAAATGTACCCATTCATATAATTTTCAATTTTTTTAATCTTAAATGTACCCATTCTTAAATATACCAATTTGTTATATGTAAAATGTACACTTTTTTTAATATAAAATGTACAAATTTTTTATATAAAATTTATCCAAACTTTTAATATAAAATACATTCAATTTTTTTTAATTCATTTTTAAACTTATATGGGTACATTCTTTTTTCGTGATTTGATAATACACACACACAATATAATAGAGAGTATAATTTATATTTTATTATTGTTAATCCCACAAATTATGGGTTATATTTAAAATCTCATTAATATACGGAATTGTTATTGGTACTCCAAAATTCTCATTCTACACTCCAAACTTTCTATGTTTAGAAAGAAAAATACACTTGTGAGGAGTGTAGAATGAGGTTCTTTGGAGTGTCAATAACACTTCCCTTAATATAAACAAATACAAATTTCAAATTTTAATTTTTAATTTAAAAAATAGAGTAACTTACACTATTACACTAATGTTAGAGACTTCGATAAAAAACTAAAAATAAACAAGGTTTCAGTAAAAAAATATTAATAGTCACGGACCACATCCAAAGTGTCCCAAATATACACCGGTGCATACTAGAAAGAAATACACACGAGTGTATACATTAGTGAAAGAGAAGTTTTGTTTACGACAAACTATATGTACATATAGTTTAAAGTAGAAAAAATTCTGAAGGCACAAATAATTCTAAAGTACAAAGATGCTTCACCATATATACATTAGTGAAAGAGAAGTTTTGTTTACGACAAACTATATGTACATATAGTTTAAAGTAGAAAAAATTCTGAAGGCACAAATAATTCTAAAGTACAAAGATGCTTCACCATATATAATAGGATTTTAAACACTATACATGCGCCATTAATGTCACTAAGCTACAACACCTGGCCACTCTGCCCACTTAAACAATTTTAACCTATTCCTTTCAGTTCCCCCCATTGCTCTCAACAAATCCAAAGCCCTAAACTCAACGTTGGTCCTTCGGTCATGGATTACCTGAAGAAAAAGGAGAAGAAAACCTTGCCCACCAATGTTACAAAGGAACAGGCTTGCACTCGACCGTTTTGCTTCTTCTGCACCATGAAAGAGCCAAACTCCTTCAAGAGAAGAGCTGGTATATCAGCCTGTTTTAAGGAACTACCTCTCAGAGAAGACCAAGGAAATGTTCTGGTGCTGAGCAGCCTATGGAATGTTGCTATGGCTCACCCTGACGACCCGGAGTTCCCATCCCTTGGAATCTTTGATTGCATGGCAAGGTTTATCCACAAAGGCATCAACAATAAGAGTACTAGTTGGATTCAGAGGGACCAAAACATCTTCATCCCTTACTATGCAGCTCATGTCATTGGTTCTTATACCATGAACAAGGCTGCGTTTGCCGAAAAGGCGGTGGCATCGGGCGTGATTCCACCACTTTTGGAGCTTCTGAGAGGGAAGATGAGTTGGGTCGAGCAAAGGGTCGCGGTCCGAGCGCTAGGTCACCTTGCAAGCTACGAGAGGACATTCGAAGCTGTGGCGGAATACGAAGAAGAGGTGGTGAATTTGGCCATAAAGTTAGCCTCTACATGTCTTGATGTGGTGTATGTTAGTTTTGTCGGGGTGAAGGATGAGATAAAAAGACAGAAATATCACTGTAATTTGCTCACAAGAGGTGTTGGGGGATTTGAAATGGAGAATTGCAAGGCTGAGGAATGGGCTAGTCAGCTTCAGTGTTGGTCTCTCTATATCTTAAATTGTTTTGCTTGCAAAGAGAGGTCTTTGAACCTCATTTGCAAGGGGAACTTTTTGAAAGAGTTGTGTGGAATGTGGGGTGGATTGGCAAATCACTCATCGCCAGCTGGGATTGGACTTGTTAGGATTTTGTGCTATAGTAAATATGGAAGGAAAAAAATTGCTGAATCAAAGGTAGTTATTGAGAGCCTGTGTAATCTCTCAAGGTCTTCAGATGACTGGCAGTACATGGGAATCGACTGCCTCTTGTTGCTTCTCAAAGACCCCAATACGAGGTATAAAGTTATCGATATGGCCGCCTTGTTTCTTGTCGATTTGGTTGAGCTCAAAAGCCTTGGAGATAGATCAAACTTAGGTGAGGCAATCACAAAAGCACTTCTTCTGAACGAGTTGAACAAGAACAGAAGAATTGAAAAATGTTTGGAAGAGGTTTGGAATTTGAAGGTACAGAGGAGGAAGAAGGAGAGACTGTTGTCTGAAGAAAAAATTGAGGAAAGTAGGGTTTTGGTGGATTTAATGAAACAAGAAGCAAATCATATGTTTTGTATAGGAGAAATAGAGGAAGCTATAAAGAAGTATTCTGAAGCATTAAAAATGTGCCCATTAGGGTTGAGAAAAGAAAGAATGGTGCTCTATAGCAATAGAGCTCAGTGTGAATTGCTGATCGGAGACGCAGATGCCGCCATTAGAGACTCGACAAGAGCTCTCTGCTTGTCGAGTCCAGTGAATTCTCACAGCAAAAGTCTTTGGAGGAGATCACAGGCATATGACATGAAAGGGTTGGCCAAGGAAAGCATGATGGACTGTTTGATGTTCATCAATGGGTGCATCAAGTCTGAGAGTAGCAAACGTGTGAAGGTTCCATACTATGCAGCACGTATGATCAGCAAACAGATGGACGCCACGTGGCTTTTTGCCACTGCCAGGTCAAAGATGGCAACTGTCGATGATCAAGACTTTCAAGAGATTAAAGAAGTACAAAAGTCAGAAAGTAGGGTTAACTTACACGAGAGTAGCAGTGACAAGCAAGATTACCATGATGAAATGATGAGAATTGTGATGCAGAAGAAAGGTATGTGAACTAAAATTAGCACTCGAATATCATAATAATGAGATCCTTAGCATGATAAGAATTTACATGATGATACTGATACATAATTATTATGGCATCCTGTATTAATAATACAACGATATATATCAATTTTTTCTATAATGCATCGTAATATTAACACAAGATGTTACGGTGGCAATGTACGAGTACCACGTAAGTCACTCTTTCACATTACAAAAGATCAGTAGTAGATGTTTGAAATTCAAATACTGGGTTAATATATTTGTTTCATTTTTCTAACGTGCGGTGTGCGTAAGTCTATGCAACTTTTTAAGGTTTATATATGTGGAAAGTATCATTCACTTTTGTACTGTATATCTTTTTCAGGTCTGTCCACCATTTTTGAAGAACCTTTAACTCAATTAAAGGAAGAGAGTTGGAGAACGATGGAAAGGACGAAAACGATGTAATTAAGCTTTGGTCGTGGCCCAGTCAGTGTAAGTTTTTGTGATGGGTCATTGGGTCTCAATGCGATATGGAAACTTGTGGCCACAAGATGTTAAGTTTTTGTTGAAGTTAGGGTTTATGCAGTTGATAGTGTCTGTCCTTCTTTGAAGCTAAATATACAACTGCATACGTTAATTTCCTTCACGATCAGCGTAATTAGTGTTATCTTTAGGTTAAGCGATATATAAGGTAGTGTTTAATTTCTTGGCCAGTCAGAATTAACAATATCTAATTTGACGATCTAAAAACTTACTTTGCATCTGGTAATTAAGAGAATATTTCTCAACTATATTTATATGTTCGAATATATAAATATGGCAAAGGTGGAGAGGACCACTTGGGCATATTGATTAAACAAGTTTATTTCAAATGAAGAGAAGGACGAAATGAAAAGGTTAAAAGGTATACCTAATTCCATAACATGGCTTTTCTGGTTGCACACGCATGCCTTTGTCTTCTGAAGTTACTCCACTTTATGATCTTGTATATAATGTGTTTATCATAATTGTGTGTTTTTGGATGAGAGATTTCTAAAAACAAATTAATTTAGGAGTCAAAAATGTCCTATAAAACATTAGAATGAAGGGTTGAAAATGCGCTTCTCAGGATTACAAAGCCACTAGAAGAAAGATTTTCAAATGACTCATTTTAAGCAATCGTTTTAAAATTTCTTCGTAATATTTTCAATTAAACTCAATCTAAAAAGTTACGTGTTATATAACCGATTTTTTGTTTTCCCATGTTGTGCTTGAGACGTGGAGAAAGTTTATGGTGGAAATAACTAATGAAGAAGAGTGGAGAGAGAATGGTGGGAGAGATGTAGAAGAAATTATAGAGACTAAAAACCAACAACTACTTCAAGTCTTTTTTACTTTCAAGATTTTGTTTTCGTTAATTCATCTTTGTTCTTTCCCTCCCTCTCACCACACTTCTTCATCCTCATTTCTCCTTTATATATTCGTCGTATCTGAGACCCAAAAAGTAGAAACAATGACTCAAATAATTATCAAACGAGTCTTAAAAGTTAAATTTAAAATTTGAATGTGGCAGTAAGCATCTACTTTTAGACGGAAGGGTAGGTCTTTTTTTAAGATCTCAGTACTATTCATTTTAACGAAAAATCATATTTTATATTAAAAAGTCAATCATGGTACTATTCAATTTACCCTTTATTTTGTCCTTATTATAAACTTAAAGTTTTCAAGCTCTTTTCATTAATTTTTTATTTTTTTTTAATCTGGACTAGAAGAAATACCTCAAGCACCCAAACCTAACCAAGACCCCACCTAAAAAAAGGCATTACATAATTCATCATTCAGAGGCCTCTAAGTTTCCAAATTACAAAAGATGATCAACTAAATTAACCAGCTTAATTTAACCCTAGAAGTCTTTTTCATGATCAATTAGGTAGAAAGAAAAAGGCGATTTCATGATTTTTTTTTTTTTTTTAATTTCTTCAGTCTAGCATCACATATTGTAATTTGAATAAGTTCGGCAGAATTACACCCAGATCAGGCAATGCAACTAGCTAGACACAAAATCTCTACTTTATGATATGCTGTCTACTCTAATTTCTTTTCGTAGTAGGCAAGCTGTACATTTCTGACTTTTAATTCATAGGAACCTAGGTTAACTTATATATATCGGCTCATCCTCAATAATTAGGTCGGAAAGCTGCATACCATCATGCATTGTTATTAATTCATATACTTCAAGAGTGAAAGTCCTTGAAATGTCAAATATTATCGTCCATTCATATTATAATATATGACTTATGAACACTTCTGATAAAACTGAGAAATGAGACTCAAAGAAGAAATGCAGAAAAACAGAAAGAGAAATATGACAGTCTTGTAAAATCCGCGGTGTGTGTGCAGTGGAATAAATGAAACAAGACACAATATTTACGAGGTTCCTTTACTGTCAATGTGACTGAAGTACGTCATCGGGCTAGCAGTGGTGCTTTCATTTATAATCTGAAATAATAGGAGTACAAGGATAACTCTCTCTTTTCTCTCCTCTCTTGTTCCTCTCTTTTCTTTCTTCCTCTTCCTTCCTTCCTTCCTTCCTTCCTTCCTTTCTCTGCCGTGTATCATTGTGTGTATTTGCTCTCATCCATCTCATGCTTTTATAGGCACATATTTGGAATGTGAAGAGAATGATAGTGCCTGCTGCCTTGCTGCCAGCCAATATGTACAGCTCCAAAGCAAGATTCCCATATATAAAAAAAGATAGGTTAGTGCCCATCTAGGCCATCCACATTTTATAACACTGCCCCTTGGATGACCATATGTAAATATCGGCTATCTCGTTAAAATCTTGATCTGTATGCTCCGCCTGATGAGTATCTCCCCCTGATTTCAAATTCTTTAAGTTGATGCGTATCTACGCCATACTTGAACTTCTATGGGCTCATCATTGATCTTTCTGTTTCAATCTCTTGCATAGCAGAAGTGGTGCACAACCTTTTCCTTTGAATGATCCTTCAAAACATCGTTTCTCAGCGACTCATCCATGCTTAGCATCTTCAGTGTAAAGAGCCAACATCATATCAATTGTCCTGAGGTATTTGCTAAGGAAATCCGAGACCTAACAACAGTTGAAGATGACTATTTGAGAGCAATGCTAGGTAAGTAATCAGGGAAGGGTCTCAGGTAATCAGTTCCGGATCGGAAGTTTGATTTCAGGTTCTGACTGATTGCTCTCTTTCTCCGTGTCTTGCAGGTAAGAACAATGACAAAGAAAAAGGACAAGGAGAAAGCATGATATGATATACTTTTACTTTTGAAGAAAATAGTAGAAGGTTTTGATACTGATGCAAAACTTCTCGATCAAAACTATTTTCTTGCTGAGGAAATGAGTTAAGCATTTTGAGTGACTTGGTTGAAGAGGTATTCTCGAAGAGGAAGAAAACTGAGTATTTCGATATGCTTCGTTGAAAAATGCACTATCGGAGAGGATGAAGAGTTAGGCATTCTTGCAGGTCTACCTTGCCATGGAGGACAAAGGTCAACATATATAAGGATTTTCCAATAGCAAGTAGTGGTGTTGTTTGGGATCATTTTCTTTACGCTTGTCAGCAAAGTGGAGTCATTGGAACTGTAAAAATTCACGCGTTTCATCTTTGTTAGAGATATTTGACAAAATTGTTTGTGATATCCGAAAAAAACTGAGATTGCGTCTGAAAAGTGTCAACGAACTTTATTGAGGAAAATTTGACTTTTGAAATTCAGAGAATGGTGCCTCTTCAATTTTTGAACAAGTGGTCATGTTGCCTCTTCTTTTATGTATGCATCAATTGTGTTCAAAATGCATGCTCAGAAAGTTACCGCCTGTATAAATTTTCCTCTTTGCATTTTCCTTCATCATTTCTGAAAATAACTTGCCCATCTGACCGTTGTTTTAATTTTAATGTTGAGGAAGATGCAGACATATATCCTCAAGACAATATATGGCACCCATCATTCTTATCCATCAATGGTCCTCTTACAATTAGGAACTCTGTAATGAAGAATGACATAACTGCTATAGTTATATCTAGGAATCTTCTCACTCCCAAGGATAGCTGGATACTTTCAAAACGGTCTGATAAATTGGTTGTTCAAGACTCTCTGACTTTTAGTGTTCAGTGTGCTAGCTCTGTATCCAATATGAGCTAACATCTACTAGCTCGAACTCGCTAAGTCGAATCATTAATGGCTAAGGTGGCAAGTCTTAGACAAAAGATTACAGAGCTCAAACACGAAAATAGAAAGTTGCACATGCTTGCAAATAATTACTCAATGAGAATGAAAAGAAAGCTTGACTAGTTGCAGGAATCTGAAAGTCGGATTCAAAGTGAACATTAGATTTTTATGGCCCTATTACAAAGGCACTCATTGCCTCCACCGTCTGGAGATCTACCAAGTACAGAGGCTCCAAACAATCAACCTCCGATGATTCTTCTTTTTGGAGTCCCGCCAAGTACTGAGGCGTCACATGATCAATCTCTTATGCCTCCTCATTCTGGGGTTCTGCTAAGTACTTGAATGTATAAAAATTTCCTCCAATATGCCTAAAAACTTTTATTCCAACTCGTTAGATATAGAAGCCCATGGAAACTTCTAGTTTCATAATCAATAAATAAATGAGGAAACAATGAAATATTCTAGTTCCAAGAATATAAATCAATGAACCCTTTAACGAATAAGAGTAGTGTTGTGCTAAATACAATAAAGCATATACTTCACTAAGATATGGTACTTTTGAACCAAATATCAATTCATCTTTACTCTCACGAAGATAAATGATCATTCTTAGTGTTTATATATTGGCTAATCATTTGAGTATTCAACTTATAATCTTCAATCCATATGGTTCTTTAATATCATAAATATCATGGATAAGATTCGTGTTGGCATATTGTTCGATCTGCAGCTCGAGACAATATTCCTTTCAACACTTTATAATTTTTCTAAACCCTTCAGGAGTTCCAATCTAATATCATCAACTCTTGCAAGAGATTTTAGTATGTTGCAATAATATTGTTGATGCACAAAACCTGAGAGGTCTTGGAACAACGTAAATCCGACCGTGAATCTGCAAGAAATGTAAATAACACAAGATGTATCGTGGTTCACCCCAAGGTTTGGACTACGTCCACACTGATTATTGTATTTCTAAGAGAGAGAGCTTTGAGAGGATGAGAGGGGCTAGGAATTGGCCTCCCATAATTGTGAAGGTGATGAGTCCTTTTATAGAATAAGGGCTCCTCACTTATTACATATTTACCCCTTCCTTTATTACATAATTACATTTAAGTCCCCCAAGTATGTATGAGATCTAAATACAGAGGCCCTAAGTATGGTATAAACAGTAATCCCCCAAGTTTTCAGTCAAGAGAGTCTTTTGGCTGGAGACTTGAAATTCAGTCCATGTGTGGGCTGAAGTAACTAGATGTTGTCTTGAACTGATGCTCGATATGAGGCGGTGCTCAATCTGAAATGATGCTCAACTAGAAGTAGCACATGTTGTGAGGCTGCTCGGCTCGTGGCTTATGTTGCCTTGGTTGGCTCGGTTTGTGGCGTTGAAGGTGAGGGAGTCCCTTTTATAGAATAAGGGCTCACTCTTCAATACATAAATGATGGGCTAGAGTTGATGCTCTTTAGTGA